GCTACAGCTGTTTCTTAACTTGCAAAGATAAGCAATGATGCAGATTTCAGTATCACGGTTTGCAGCTGTCAGTGGTTTTCCACTGTCTAGCAGCCTTTGATGTCTCCTCTTTGATGTGTCTTATTAATGAAGCAAAACTAGAAAAACCACCAGTCTTGACAAAAACTTTTAGAGTATTGACTGTATGCAAAAGTAAAAATAAGAATCTAAAATGACAAATTTGCACTCGATTTCAATTTTTTTCTTTTTAAAAAAAATGTCTGTTGGACTTTCCTGGTTGTCCAGTGGTTAAAACTGCACTGCCAATGCGAGGGGTATGGGTCACTTCCTGACTGGGGAACTAAATTCCTCATGCCATGTGGCATGGCCAAAAGATTAAAAAAAAATCTGTTGATGTTCTGATATATAAACACGGGGCTGGCATCATGTTGTATGGTATTTTCTTAATTATTTTGCAAGAGTTAGAATCTGGAAAAGCATATGACCCAATGAGAGTCCAAAATGAGAAGATGGTAATATCACTAGTTGATTCATGCCGCTTCAATTTGCTGCTTCCTGCCCCTATCTAGTGCCTCACAAAGAACTTCGCTTTCTACTTTCTCTTTCTTGTTTGACTGGAGAAAAACTGTCCCTCCTCTTTTACCAAAGATTCAAATAAAGATCAAAGCGCATAAGGCCATTTCTCCACCTACGATTTAACATTATGTATGTGTAACAACCTGGGTGACTGAGTTACTAGTCACTAGTTTAGTGTATCTGCTTGTCTTCCTTGCCTCTAAAATTAGTCAAATTAGCATTTGACTCACTTCCATGTTTCAAATCTGCACTTTCATGGTTGGCTCCCTCAAACTGCTTCTTGATGGGCAGTCCCTGGCGTTCAGTAGGCACCCAAATATTTGTTGAATGAATGAATGATGTTTACCATGTTTACTTCCCCTTCCTGGCATATTTTTTATTTTCAAGACTAAAGAGAGAATGATCAGTATTTCCACACACAGGGTCAGTTGCCTTGCTTGGTTTTTTGTTTTCCAGTATTTTCTTCTTGTTGTTAAGTCACTAAGTTGGGTCTGAGTCTTTACGACCCCAGGGACTGTAGCCCGCCAGACTCCTCTGTCCATGAGATTTCCCAGGCAAGAATACTGGAGTGGGTTGCCATTTCCTTCTTCATTTCTAATATTTCAGGGGTGGAGGGGGGAAGAGTTTTAGTCCCATAAAAAACTAAACTTATGGGATGAGGAAGGGCTACATTTTTGTACATTTAATGTGAAGTGCCAGTGCATATTCTCTTTAAAAGTATGTACTTCTACTCAGAAAAGGAAAGGTATTTTTCTTTATAATCTTCCACCTCATGCTATTCTAGTAATTTTATTTAGTTATTTTTGGCTGCTTTGGGTCTTCTTTGCGGCATGTGGGCTTTTCTCTAGTTGTGGTCTGATTGCAGTGCATGGAATTCTCATTGCAGACGCTTCTCTTGTCATGGAGCACAGGCTCCAGGGTCAGGGGCTTCAATAGCTGTGGCTCTCAGACTCCTTAGTTGTGACACCTGGGCTCTAGAACACAGGCTTAGTAGTTGTGGTTCATGGACTTATTTCTCCCACGGCATGTAGAATCTTCACAGACCAGCGATCAAACCAGTATTCCCTGCATTGGTAGGTGGATTTTCAACCACTGGACCACTAGGGAAGTCCTCTACTTGCTATTCTAAATATGTAGTTTTATTTGTGGTTTGCAACCCTGAGCACTGGTGACACGGCAGAAACACAGATAAGGAAAAGGAACGGTCATCTCTTGGCTGAGGAGTGGGTTGAGTCCCCTCGTAGCATGTCCTTCTCTTCTTTGGCCCATTTTCTCTTGCCATCCTTCCTGTCTAATCTCCTGTTTTCTAATTTGTCTACTGTTGATCTGTCGAGAGAGAAAAGCATCAAGTTAGAAATTGCTATATATAAATGTTTTAAACCAATACATTGTGTACCTTACACAATGTTATATATCAGTTATATCTCAATATGAAGAAATACATAAATTCAATGAAAATAACTAGCTATTTCCTTCTCTCTAAAATAAAGATATCAAAAGTGTGAACAGACATGACTTCCTCAGATCAACTGAGTAATTGTTTAAAAATGCAGATCCCCAGTCTCACTATAGATCTGATTATGGGTCTTATGGAATGAAGGTCAAAGTTCTGTGTATTTAATCAAAACCCTAGGCATTTATCTTATATTCTCAGTTTTAAGACTCAGCTGCTCTTGATCAATGATGCATAAAATCCAAGTGGAAAAATCAACTAAATGACAATCCCAAAGGCTTATTCTTCATTTGTAGGTCTTCTAACTTAACAGTAAAAAAAAAAAAAAAAAAAAGCCCACTTAAAAAGTCTGATGACCACAGAGAAGAACTGCGATGGGCATCATTTACACTATTTGACCATAACTATTGTGAAAGGACAAAGTATATTTTAAAAAATTATTTTAAAAATTATTCAAAAAATTATTCTTTGAAAACCAGTTATTTAAGAGCTATTGTTTTTGCTTTTCCTTTGTTTTCAATTTTTGCATCTTTTTTTGGTGAACTTCTGCACCTCTCTCTCTCACTTCCCGCCCTTACCCTCTCTCTGTTTCCACTCTCCCTCTCTTCCCTTCCTCCTGTCTCCCTTCCTCTCCAAAACTCCTTTCTAGCTCCTCTTTCCTTGGCAAGCCACCCGTTATGATCACATCTTTAGCACTTAGGAGCGTGATGTCATTGAGAAAATGGCCGTTGCAGTCCTGTCTTGCTCTGACACTTACTAGCTGTGTGATATTAACATTTCTCATTTCTTGTCGCCTCAACACTAAAAGTACTTTATAGTGCTGTTTTGTGAGATTAGAATGAGATTCATGCATGTGAAGTGCTCAGCAGATATCCTGTCAGTCATCACTCAGTGTCTGGTTTTCATGGTTATGAGTTATAATGGCCACACAGGAGAGGATGTGTTAAAGAGAAAAGTCAAGTCCTTAGGTTAGGAGACCTTAAATATTGTGATAGTTGTTAGATTCTGAAGATACAAAGAGGAGTTCCTAACCTCAAGTTGTTCACACTCTTGTAGGAAAAGTGCAGTAGTGTAAGATTCAGAGGAGCCACTAAAGAGAGAATGATCAGTATTTCCACACACAGGGTCAGTTGCCTTGCTATTAAAAATATACATATAGAGAGGGAGGAAATTTGAACAGTTCATTGCAGTTATTTCTCTCAGTTTAAAATGATACCCATATCATGTCCTGACTCAGTGGGTCTTTACACGCAACAGAAAAAGCTGTCACTTCCTTGATACACTCACTCCCATCTGATTGAGTACCGCTATAATAAATACAGAAATATGTATTGACTACTATTGTAAATGCTTCCCCTTAGAGTTTTTCAGTGTACAACCTGTACAACCATCCAAGGCATCCTTATAACTATAAACAGTATTTATGTCACACTGGCTTTCATTATTTGGTTTGGCAAATAACATATTTGGGTAATTTTTCTAATATAAACAATCATGATGATCCTGAGCTCATAATCTTGTCACCATGTAGTCCTGTGGTGGAGGTTATGTTGTGGTTAGCTAAAAGAGATTGTTATCATTGTCTATAGTTGGACTGAGATGTTGATTGCAGTGACCACGGCCTCTAGACAGTCAGAGGAATTCTGAATAGATCGCCTAATAAATGATTCCCTCACAAAGGACTGTTAGGAAGTCCCTGGGTGTAATATGTAGAAAGTATATAATCTACAATGTTCTTCCATTATGTATTATTTGGTCTCAGTCATTTCAAATATGTAATTGTAGATTCATTGAAAATAACCTGATAACACATGTCGATAAAAAAAGAGAATTTAATCACATTTTCTCTTCCTTCTCACTTGTGTTTACTGTCTACAGTTGATACTCCAGACCCCTATGTGGAACTTTTCATCTCTTCAACCCCTGACAGCAGGAAGAGAACAAGACACTTCAATAATGACATAAACCCTGTGTGGAATGAGACCTTTGAATTTATTTTGGATCCTAATCAGGAAAATGTTTTAGAGGTAAGTGAGTCATTGGGGGATAGTGGGTCAACGGGGGTCAAGTGAGTCATTGCGGGGGTTATCTTCAAGTTGAGCCTGAAAGCATCAAATTTTTCCTCTGACTGCCTTCATTCTTCTCGGTTAGATAGTTGGAGTCCATCTGTGCAGTATATGGTAGATGAGCTTCTAGCTGTCACACATCAAGCTATGTGAGTGTCCAAATGCAGGAGTTAGGTGGGGCTAGAGTCTTCAATCCTCACCATGTACTTTGCTACAGTCCATGGGGTCACATGGACTGACATGATTTAGTGACTAAACCATGCCAGTCAATTGCACTTTGGAGAAAACATTCTTTCTGTTTTAAAAGGGGGGATCCAAGTACAAAGGATAAAATATTGCCAATTGATTAGGACGTCAAAATAAGTTAATTTTATTAGCTTAAATTTGAAATACTTAGCTTTAAAATAAGTTCACATAGATCTTTTCCAACAGTTGCAAGAGTTTTCTACATTAACTTCTTTCTCATATTCCAAAATAGCATTTCCTCTGAGAGGGGAGAAATTTCATTTTTCAAACTATGATAATGAATAGGTCAATCACAAAAGTGAAAAAGTGAATGATTTATGTTAGAAACTCACAAAGAAAAGACAAAGTATTATTACTAGTAGAATATTTAGGATTTCAAATGACTATTAAATACTACTTGAAAAATTTCACTTTTTTTAAAGTGTGGTGGAGATTTTAGATACAATTTCCAAGGATCCCAGAAAAATTTGATACCTGTGTTCTATTTTTTACTCTCTACAGATCACATTAATGGACGCCAATTATGTTATGGATGAAACTCTTGGGACAACAACGTTTCCCATATCTTCTATGAAAGTGGGAGAGAAGAAACAGGTTCCTTTTATTTTCAATCAAGTAAGCAACACAACAGAATTATTTTTCTTTTTTTTTTTTTGCTATCATAAATCAAGAAATCCATTTATTCAAGGTTACTTATGGGGAATTAATCACACAGAAAATTTTAACAACTTCTTTTTCAAAAATTAAAGTACAAGTACTTTACTGTATTTGGCATTCCTATACATAATGATGTGAATTCAAAGACTGAAAGCATTAAAGGTATATAATTAAAATTCTTGGGCTTAGACATTTAAAAAGTTTTAATATTTAGAATTCTCAGTAACAAATATTATAGAAAAACAAATCAGAATATAAATACAATGTACTCTCCTTCAGATTTCTCCTCTGATTAAGTGGCATTATATAACATACAAAGTTGTTCCAAAATACTTGTACATACTTGTTATACCCTCATAAATATTAAAAGAAATCTGAAAAAATTGAGGCCAAGTTAACTACCGGCACTATGCACAAAGAACAAAAACTCATGAATTCCTCCACTTCTAAGGACTTCTAAAACCAATCTTCCTAATTTCAAGGAAACATTTACTCAAAAGAGAAAAATTAAAAACAGGTCAGCCATACATTAATAGCTTTGATAGGGTATAGCTATTATGTCAAAATTCAGCCATCAATATACAACCTCATTTCCCATCTAAAGTTAATGAGAATGTATTTTACTTTAAATGGGACATAGTGGCAAAGTGCCAAGAATTAAAGAATAACCTTAAAGTCTTAATTTCATACTTCAAATACCACAGAAAGCAGTAATTCCCAAAATCATGAAAGCATAATGAAATAACTACAGAGAAAAAATGGACATTTAAGTCATTTCACTCTTTCTTAATATCATATAGTGAGAACAGATGTATTTATAACTTCAGCATATGTCATAAAATCATTATTCATCGAAATAGACAAATGTTTACGAGGAACATTTAATTTAAACTTAATAGTTGCTTATAAAATGGCACTTGAAAGACTGACCTAAGCAAATAAGAGTCTGGTCAAGAGACAGTAAAATATACATATAATATATACTACAATGTTGCTTGGGATTACATGTATACACTGCTGTAAATGTATGCATAAACGTAAAATGCATAATCAACAAGGACCTACTATAGAGCAAATGGAACTCCGTTCAATGTTATGTGGCACCCTGGATGGGAGAGGAGTTTGGGGGAGAATCAATTCATGTATAATGGAGGGCTGAGTCCTTTCCGTGTCCATCTGAAACTATCATGTTATTAATCAGCTATACTCCCATATAAAATAAAACATTAATATATATATATACACACTACAATGTTAAAAACCTCATAGTGTTCTATAGGAAAACCAACAAAGATAACAATCTTCCTGGGGGGAAAAGTTTTTACCATTATGAATTTCAAATGCAAGTTTTATACATGAATTCAATAAGGAATACATTTAAACCTTACAGTGCCACATAATCATCATCCATTTTGTGGAAAACAATAAAAATTATGTACTTTTAAAATATGTGTACATCAAAACTGAAAGGTTAATTTTTCCTTTTTCCTTTATTGGCAACTTTGGATGCATTTTTAGGTTTTGGTTCCCAGAGGGCATTTTTTACAAATCTTGAAGCCGCACCCCTGTCCAGCTTGCCAGCCTTTTTCTTGTCTGTTATTTCCTTGACTCTGTTCATGTATACTCTGATTCTCTCCAATTCCTGCTTTACTGGATGTTCCTTGGGATTGAGTTGCCAAATAAACCCAAAACATTGAATTTAATGTGTAAGCAGAAACTAAATCCACTTTTGCCTGTTCAAGTGGGTCCAACTTCTGCAACAACTCATTTCTAGAAACAGACATCATGGTCTTCAGCATTTCATCCACAGCACCAATGGAATTCTCACATGCTGATAAATATTCATGAATTTCTACTGGATAGTCTTCATTCATTCCTTCACCTGCATTACGATCAACGTTATGGAGGCTGGAAGTCCAAGATCAGGGTGTCAGTATGGTCAGATGAGGATTATCTTCCAGTCGAGGATTTCCAACTTCTTGTATTAATATCATCACTTGGGGAAGGAAGCTATTTTTCAACCTTATGTCAGATAAAATCTAGTTAATCTGGAAAGTTGGAGTTTAATGTTTGGAAATCCTTCTCTTCCTTCCTTTCTTTTTTTCTTAGGTGTGCTGCATTTCTGAGATTTCAATAATTTTTTAAAGAATAATAAGACTCTAAAAAAATTATTTACACTGAGAAAACATTAGATTCTTTTTACAGGAAACTTACTTTTACAAGAAACTAGTATTTTGCAATAAGAAATGTAAGCAACTGGTAAACCAAGATTCAGAAAGCTTGTCACTGCATTAATTTATTCTTGTTGGGTGCAGCTCAGTGTTTTTGTCCCTTCAAATGACTTTCCAAATCTCTCTCCTCTCCCTCAAATGTACATATGCCGTAATCTTACCTCCTTTCCTAACAGTTACCATCTTGAATTATCTCTTTCTTCCTGAACCTCCATGATAATTACATGTTGTTCACTGGGACTGAATCTCTTAACCTCTTCAAACTAAAATCCTGTAGGCCAGGAATTTAGAATAGTGGTCATGCATGCTTAAGAACTGACTTAAGCCCTGAGGACTACTTGACCAGTTCATGTAATCAGAGGAACCCTGGTGCGTTATGAACACTACAGTCACACACTCCCCACTGATCCCTTTAGCTGCTCCAGGAAGCATGTCTTCTATATATTTTCTGTCCAGTGCCAAGAGATACACTGGCCACATTTTAAAGTTATTTCATTCATATTTCACTCTTTCAAGTGTTTACTGGTGTCTACCCATCATTGTGTTGTGTTCAAGGCATCTAAAGAAGAATAAGATATAGGAGGCTCTTCCCTCAATTATCTTCATCTGGGGCAGAGGTGAGGTAGAGGTTGGGAAAGCAAATGGATACAGGGAGATACATGTGATGAAAAGAAACCACCACACAGCGAGATTAAGCATCAGTGAGGCATATACAGAGTGCAGTGGGAAGACAGAATAAAGAAAGATGGTGTTATGCGAGGAGGCCAGGTGTGGATCCATATCAGTAGGTGATTTTGAGCAGGTCAAACGGTGAACATAGCTGTTAACACCTTGTCATTTGAAGCCAGGTTGTTTGGTGTTTAAATCCCACCTTTGTTTCTTACCATCTGTTTCATCCTGGCAAAATCACTTAGCTTCTCTGAATGCCAATTTACTCATCTGTGAAATAAAGATCCCTGGAGAAGGAAATGGCACCCCACTCCAGTATTCTTGCCTGGAAAATTCGGTTCACAGAGGAGCATGGTGGGCTGCAGTCCATGAGGTCTCAAAGAGTTGGACATGACTGACTGAGCATAATATAGAATAGATTGTAATGCATATTATATTTAAATATAATGATATAATTATTACTTATATGTATATAATTTTGTATGAAATATGGTCATATATTGGTTTATACGTTAAGTATATAACAGTACATATAAAATGTGCTCAGTCGTGTCCAACTCTTTGAGGCCCCATGGACTGCAGCCTGTCAGGCTCCTCTGCCCATGGAATTTTCCAGGCAAGAATACTGGAGTGGGGTGCCATTTCCTACTCCAGGGGATCTACCCAACCCAGGGATCAAACCCACATTTCTTTCATCTCCTGCATTGTCAGGCAGATTCTTTACCACTCGCACCACGTGGGAAGCCCATATATAAAATATATAACAATAACTGATTACAGAAATACATATAATATTCGCACAGATTAGCCATCCATACATATAGTACTCAGTGGCTCATACATGCGTGTGTGTGCCTATTAAACAATATGTATGTTTGTAAAAAGCTGGATTTCAGTAGGCAGAGAAGCAGTTATGAGCATTCTGGTTTCTAGTAGAAACTGCCAAGGCGTGGAGTCTTGAAAGAAGAAAGCAAGCTGAGGCATGACAAGTTACACAGCTTGGCAGGTACGTGCTGGTAGGCAGTGAGTAGAGAGTTAGAGATGGTTAAAGGTTAACATTACCTACGCATGTTACTAAGGTCAGTTCTCAACAGACCCTTGTTGAGGACTTTGTAAGCATGACTGGCCTTTCCAAAATGGAACGGTTTTTTCTGCTTTTCAGTCTGTGACTCAAAGATTGATTTTAAGAGAGGAAACTGTAGGAAAACATGCATCACCTCTCCTGTCATTTCCTATGCTCAGGTGTGTGATTGCCGGGCTCTGAAAAAGACTTTCTGCATTCTTGAATTTTGAGTAGCTTATATAAGTATTTTCTTTACCGTGCTTGAAAAAACAGTTGGCCAAGCAACTTGTTTTTTTCATTACACCATTCTCCAGAGTCCTTTGTAGTTTCAATCTGAATGAGAGTTCTTTTTTTTTTAATTAATTTATTTTTAAAAAATTATTTCTTTATTTTTGGCAGCACTGGGTCTTCATTGTTGCCAGCTAGCTTTTCTCTAGTTACAGCGAGCAGGTGCTAGTCTCTAATTCTGATGTGCAGGCTTCTCATTGTGGGGGCTTCTCTTGTTGCTGAGCGCAGGCTCTGAGAGCATGGGCTCTGTAGCACGGCCTCAGTACTTGTGGCACATAAGCTTAGTTGCTCTGAGGCATATGGGATCTTCCCAGTCTCAACCACTGGACCACCAGGGAAAGTCCCTCCATTAACTTATTTCTAGATACTTTTAATTCATGAATTTCTATGCACTAGAAAGAATGTCTTGCTTGTCACTTGACTGTTTTTACCCAGAAGTTTTCAATGCTTCCCCTTCACAGATATGGCAAATGATAATGTAATAATTAAAATCTAATGATAATGTAATGATATCTAATGAAAATGATAATGTAATAATTTAAAAAATCTTTTTTATGCATCTTTGAAGTATTGACCTAGCCATAGCTTATTTTTTAATATGAGAATCTGAGTCTTTACAGTGTACCTAAAACTTTGTTTCATATCAGGAAAGCTATCAAAAATTTCATTTTCAAGGAACTAATAGTCTGTTTGGAGAAGGAGTAAACATTATGATAAGCTGATAAGTAATAGAATAAGCAGTCTCATGACACACCTATTCATTGATTTATTTATTCAATTCTGATTGTGTTCCAGGGATATTCTAAGTGGTGGGCAGACAGCAGATGACATGGTAGATGATGGTTCCCGGGGAGCTTGCATGTTGATGGGGAAAGTAAATAGGTACCAAGAAACAAAAGAATAATCAACATAATATAAGCCAGTGATAAATACTATGGGGAAAATAAAATAGAGGGGTGTGATAGAGAACAGTTGGTGGGCAGTGGAGTTTATATAGTCAAAAAAGGCCTTTCAAAGGTATTATTATTTTTAAATTTAAGCATATACAGTGTTGAAATGTTTTTACATTGGACACCCATAAATATGCTACCTAGATTCTACAATTAACATTTTATTCTTTTTGCTTTTCACATATCTTTCTATCTGTCCATCCATCAAACCATCTTGATACATACTTATGTATGTATGTGTGTATATATATATATATACATATATATATATGTGTGTGTGTGTGTGTGTGTGTGTATATATATATGTATATATATATATATATATAGTGACCATAATAAGGCTCATGAAATCTTAGTTCCCTGACTGGGGATCAAACCCAGCCTCTCGGCAGTGAAACTATGGTGTCCTAACCACTGTGAGCATCCACTAAATTCTCCATCTTGATACATTTGAAAACAAACTACAGGTCAAGAGGGATGGGACATATGTATACCTATTGCTGATTCATGTTGATGTTTGGCAGAAACCAACACAATTCTGTAAAGCAATTATCCTTCAATTAAAAAATAAATTTATGATTAAAAAATAAAGTAGACTGCAGACAACAGCCTGTTTCATCCATAAACACACTTCAGCACATCAGTAACTAGAGTTCAGGATTTATGAATTGTAATTGCAAGTACCAAATAAATCATGGAGACGATGTATAAAATGAGAATTATAAGGAGAATTATTCATCCATTTATACATTTTGCAAATAACAATGGAGCACCTACTGTGTGCATAGTCTTTAGGCATTACCTATTCAGCAATACACAAACAAACAGGTATCCCTCCCCTCCTGGAACTCATATTCTATTGAATTGGTCAGAAAGTTTGTTTAGGTTAGTCCCCTAACAGCATACAGAAAACCCGAATGAACTTTTTGCCTAACCCAATCCCTAGTAAGATGAATAAGTAAAGGACACCTATGTTGGATAGAGAGCTAAATAAATCAAGGAAGGAGGAGGGGAGTAGGCGTATGTCTGTGAAGAGGGTTGCAGATGCAGTTCCAAAAATGTGACTGAGAACAGCATCTGTGATGATATCCGAAGGCAGAAGGCGCTCGGAGTGGGAGGGTCTTGAAGCGGAGGTTTGCCCGACTTGTTGAGAAGAGCGAGAGGAAGAGCGTGGCTGGAGCACAGAGGCGTAGGGAGGGTGGCCGGAAGTGAGGACGGGCATGTGGTCACAGTGGACCCTTGTGGGTCAATGGTGGCCGCTTACTCTTAAAGGAAGGATATGGTTGGGTCACTGAAAGGTCAGAAGGCCATTCTGGTGGAGAGAAGAGTCCTGGACCTTTGCTAACAGTTCCAGGACTAGAAAGTACAAGCATGTTCAGGAAATGGTGTTTAGACAAGTACCAGTGGGAGTGGGGGAAAGGCGCTCGGAGTGGGAGGGTCTTGAAGCGGAGGTTTGCCTGACTTGTTGAGAACAGCGAGAGAAGAGCGTGGCTGGAGCACAGAGGCGTAGGGAGGGTGGCCGGAAGTGAGGACGGGCATGTGGTCACAGTGGACCCTTGTGGGTCAATGGTGGGGGCTTGCTCTTAAAGGAAGGATATGGTTGGGTCACTGAAAGGTCAGAAGGCCATTCTGGTGGAGAGAAGAGTCCTGGACCTTTGCTCACAGTTCCAGGACTAGAAAGTACAAGCATGTTCAGGAAATGGTGTTTAGACAAGTACCAGTGGGAGTGGGGGGTGGGGGTGGGAAGGGCATTCATGTGTGAAGGAAGGTGCGTGGAGATCAAACCTCAGCAGGGCTCAAATTCAAGATGCTGAAATTTGAGTATTATCTTACTGATATCAGTGAGTCATGGAAGGTTTTTAACCAGGTCATGGGGGAATTTAGAGCAAACAGGATTTGGCTTTTTCCTCAGAAGTATTACTAAGTCAAAAGTTGATAGGTAAAGATATAGAATGTTTAATATTGAAAACAAGAAGGTTGATACAGCTTTAACAGACTAGCTCTGTTGAAAGTGGCAGGTATAGATGTGAAGAATACAGGGTGACATGAGCAAAAAATAAGTGTGGCATTACGTTTAAAGTGTTAAGACAAAGAGAATGGAATGATTGCTCAGTGACAGTGAGAATCAGCTGTAGTTGGAAAGCAGGAAGTTCTTCAGCTTTTCCTGGGACTATGATTTATCATTCAATTCAATTTTAGAATGCTCTCTCTCTCTTTTTTTTTTTTTTGAGGAGAAAACCAATTTGAGCCCACAGTTTTGTTTCCCAGCTAACATTCATAAAACCTGAGTTAGGCTGTGATTGTTGGAATCATAAGTTTGGAGAGAGTCAGAGTTGTCTTGCGAGTGAGACTGGTGAGACGTGCAGATTTTCAGACCCTAGGCTCAGAGTCAGACAGACAGCCGTCTGGGTTGGGCTCATGATTTGGCTACTTATTCACTGCATGATGTTGGATGAATTTTTTTTTTTCTTTTAACCATGCATTTCTATTTGTGAAGCAGAGTTATATGTAGTACCTACCTCTAAAGGTTGTGGTTATGGTTAAATGAGTTAATAGATGGAAATTTTTAGAGCAGTGCCTGGCTCACTAAGCACCAAATAAATATTAAATATTCTCATTATAATTATACTGGCTGGATTGAAGTATTTGTCAAGTGTTTCATGAACCTGACTTAACTATTACTCTTGCTGATTTGAACTTACTGACTGAAATGAACTTCTTTATATGTAGGTAGAGACTGTACATTTAGTGATCATTGTTTCAACCCAGTTCAGAATCAAAACTGCTCTAGTCACCCATTACTGAATATATCAAGTGCGGTGTTTGTTGCAGTATCCCATTTTTAAGTGGAAAGATAGGGTTTCTTCCAAATTTAGTATGTTCTGTGTAAGCAAAATCACCCACTTCAAGAAAATCATGAACAGGCTAAGGTTTTGAAGTTAGATGGGTAAAAATTACACCTTTTTAATTCTCTGGATGAATCTTTATCTTGGCCAATACTCTGAGGAAGGTGGTCTCAGATTTCCCACTGTATGGTGTTTCAATTGGACATATTTATTTATAAGTTAGTGTTATTGTTTTAAAATAGCCATATTTCATGGTTTCTGTGGTATCTTAACTTTGACTGAATGTTTTCTTTGGCTATTGCGCATTCCTGATTGCAACTTGAAGATGAATGAGAGAGTCCTATGGAAAAGATAGTGACAAAATTAAGAAAAGGTAGTTTTGATGGTGAGTTAGTATCAGAATGATTGCATTGGAAAACTGTGTATTGATATGTGAAGGCAAAGACTACGATTTAGCACAGTGAATGAGACAGAGCAGAATTTGGAGGGAAAGCAAGAGAAATATAAAATTTTGTGAGAAATTTGGGAGATCTTCAGCTAAGATGTGAACGCCATTGTATTAAAATAGGGCAGTGTTCAGACATAGGCCAAACAATTCCTGACTTTATGAGAGAACACATTTGTATTTTGGCATACTAGCAATGGAAACTTACGTGAATCTATTTTGATACTTCTACAATTTATAACTTTTAAACTTCAGGGCATCTGAGAATGCCCTTGCATCCTTGGGGTCCTCTTCTGGATCGAAGCTTCATCAAGGAGTAGGACACTTTCAGTCTATTTAATGTTACTTATCTGACCTGACAGGCATCAGATACTTTCATTTTTGAAAGAATGGATAAAAGAATGCCCTTGTGGGAAACACAGAAAACCTGGAAAGTGCTCAGACGAGCATAATGAAAGTAAATGAAGTTTAAAAAAGAGAAAAACTTAAGAGCATGAGAGATTCCCATTTGAAAAAGATAGTATTTTGGTTTCATAGTAGTGCTTTAGGAAGTCTGGTTTATTGTATGATAGCTGACAGTTACACAGTTCTTTCTGAATTTCCAATGTCCACGTTAAAAAAAAAGGGACTTTATGGAAAAAGAGACTGTTGTCAAATGTAAACAGGAAAACTCTGTGATAAAGTGAAACATGGCCACAGAAATAATAGTGTATTTGTTTGTCTTTCAAATCTTTTAAGACTGTCTGGGATATTTTGGGAGGTATAACTGCTCTGAATTCTTGGGTGATGGATTATATGATTCCTGATAGTGAATGCAAATTTAATTTTATTAAGAAACTGTATTTGTTAGCAAGACTTACTGTGGTGATCCTATTGCAATACATACAGATACCAAATCATTGTTATGTACCTGAAACTAATATAATGGTATGTAGAATTTCATCTCAATTAAAAAATGTTAGTTTACAGTGATATAAAAAAATCATATATATTTTTAAAAAATGCTTTTAGCAGTGTATCATTCAGCTTTAAACATGCAAAATTTATTTAGCTGTGACTTGTATTGGTGAGATTATAATTTCCCCTTTGCACCTGGATTGCCTACTTTTTTACATCCACATCCAATTCCTTCTTCATAGGATGAAGTTACAGTTTATGTAAACATGATTCTTTGTAAAAATGACCCTTATTTGTTGATATAATTTTTTTGTTATCTTGCCTAGGTCAGGTAAATACAGATAAATTAGAAAATATCATGTCAGTCTCTTGAAAGATGTAATGATTATTGAGTCAACATGGTGATAAGCTGCTCTTTGTTTCTTACAAGGGGGTAAAATGAGTAAAGTACTTAGAAGGGATCAGAATTCAAAATAAGTTTTATTGAAAGTAAAGTCTGTAAATACTCGAGTGTTATAATAAGTGATGGTGTGGCATATTTGAAGAGCTCTTTACTAACAGGATAGATTTTCAAGCTAAAACTTATTTGACTGTGTGTATCCTTTGGAAATAATTTTAAAGGACTTTCTTAATGCTGGGCACTATGCTTGTTATATTTGCTTTATTCTTTCAAAATAACCCTGGGGAGTTTACAAGAGAATTAGTGGGTGAGATACCTTAAAAATTATTTTTAAGTCTGAAATGACTTTAAAAAATAGTTCCTTGTCTATAGTTCTCCTCCCCTGACTGCCCCAACTGAACATCTTCACTGTAAGCATCTAAAACTGTTTTACACTGTGAAATTCAAAAAAGAGATTGTTGTTTCCCCCTAGAATATGCAGTAGCCTGCTTTTTATATTAGTAATTCCTAGAAGAGGTGGACTTCTCTTCATTGTCCTGACTAAGTGTATTTAGGGGTTGAGGAGACCAGGGAGATTTTACCACCTTTCCTTTTAATAGCCTTGCTAATGCAAGCAACCTGGAAGACGGTGATGCAGAACTGCTTCATGCAGTGTGTGGGAAGGAGTTTTCAATAGTTGTTTAATGCCTCATAGGAAGTACATATTTCTGTGGCTCTTTTATCTGTAATGATATGTTCCAGGTGAAAGATGCAGAGAGATTGTGAATGTCCATCTTCATAGCATGTCTGAACATAGAGCATCAAGTGGGAGACTTTAAAATTTCTTCCAGGTTGTGGGTGGTCCTCTGGGGCAATACGTGGAAGTAAGGACATGAATCCATGTGACAGGAACCATGGCAGCACCTTCTATAATATTCCAAATTTCAGAAAAGTCGTGTCTTCTCCTCTCTCCTCCTGCCTTCATTTAAAGAGTCTTCTCAGTCTGTCTAGGATCATGAGTGTCTTAGCCAAGAAATGTTGCATTTGGATGTAGAAGGGACGTTCTCATGGAGAAAATAAATATGACCATAAACAGAGCAGTTAATTTTCCTTCTATTATTGTTGGGGCAAGTAAGCATTAGATATATTCAGGCATCAGATGTTTTTAAATGTAAAATATTTAGAGATCTACCAGTTGAGAAGCCAGCTTTTTTCCACTTTCTGTCATGAGGTGTCATATTGAATTAGGAAGCCCATTCCAACTTTGAATCTTTCCATGAGTTAGAAAACTCCATATGGTAATCTTGTTCTTTTAATTTCCATTCTTTCTTGGGGCTTTTGCCCTTTGTAGATAAAAACAGTAAATCTAATCTCATTTTAATATCAGTTTTCATGTATTCTTTTTTTAAACAAGCAGACTGTGTTTTATCCACTTGTTTTTCCTACTAAATATCTGAAGAATTAAACTCACTCAGTGTAAAATGCTTTCCAAGCCCCTCTTTGGGAAAGACTCCATTTGGAATGTGGAAATAGAAATGTGCTGAAATGTGGTCTGAGCAATGCTTTCCTTGATAGAATGCACAGCAATTATATAAATTGTTTATAAGCCAATCACCTTTTTGATTTAAAACTGATCTACAATTTATCTAGGTATGCATAATTCCATTTGTACTAGGATTCTTGATTATTTTATCAACTTCAAAGTAATACTGAATATTCATAGAATTCCTTATGAGAACTGCTGTGTGGGTGAAACCAGCCTATGATTTTTTCCTCTAGTAGCAGTGAAATGTTTCTTGACTGGAAATGATACCTTATTTTTGCTCCTCTTCCACACACGCATGCACAGTAATTCAACAGATACTTAGTGATTGTATGTTGTATGCCAAACACTGTGTAATGAACTTGTAATAGAAACCTACTTAAGACAGAGCTTACAATCTAGTGGGAGAGGCAAATTTTTGTACAGATA